TTGGCTGTGTTTCTTCTGTACAGGATTTTTGACTGTAATTGATATGTCACTTAAGGAAACATTTTTTAAATTTCAGTACATCTTCATGTTTTTTAGCAATTTTGTTCCTTTGGTTTTGGTTACTTGGCAGGCAGCTCAAGTGTCCATCGAGCTGGACGCTTTAAAAGAAGATATCTCAGAAAAAATGGATGCCAGATATTTGAGGGGACTCAAATCAGAAACAGAAATAGATCGATCCTTGTTTGAAAAGCCCAGTGTCGTGCTGTCTGGCCTGGGGATTATTCACTTCAGTAGAAGTTTAATACTCGGCATTCTTGGCACACTTATTACTTATGCCTTACTCATGATCAATGTCTGAATATATTGGATGTTGTAAATAATAATGAGACTAATGTAAAATTTGTGTTAAAAAACTGCAATTATTGTACATTAAATTTAAGTGAGAAAAAGTCATTATCGCTATCAAAATCTATTTATTATACTGTAGCGAATGACAAATAATGTGAAACGATTGCCCGGTATACCCTAGATCAAAGCTTTCTTAAGGTCCAGTGCCACTGCCCTGTATGTATTTAACCGGTAATCTGAACACCTATGTGTCTCCTAATCAATATTCAGCAGATATTAAAAAATCGAAAAAATATAATAATATCAACGAATAAATTAATATCAAATCGGATGTAACAAATATTTCGGATATTTACCAAAACGACTATATGATTGTTGACGTAAACCGGAGAAAGTCGGCATTCTCTTGATTTCAGACATGCACCGTGACATAGACACACACTAGATATTTTTCATTTGAAATGTTATACTTCTGATATTGTGAGCAATCTTTGCAGTTCACCCGATCAGAATAGAGATTAAAGGTGCAAAACATTACTTGGCATGATTTTATTGCTCGTGGTTCATTATTGTTTCCACTATCTACTAATTTTCTCCGGTACATATCCCATTCAAGGGACCGTAAGACACGTAATTCCACCATAACGGAATGAAAACAGATTAGTATTGGTACATTATCAATATAATGTTTTATACCAACATTGGTTTATTTAGTACCGATTCAAGAGGGGTTACCTCATTTGAACTTTCCACGAAATGCATTAATCAGTAGCAAATGACTGGAGCCGAAATTTCAAAAACAAATAAGACAAGTCTTAAGAACATGACCATTTCTCTATCTGATCTTTGATATATGTTGAAAATATTTATAAGTAGTGGAGGAAAAAATCTTTTAAATGCATGGAAATATTAAATAACTTTTTTTGTTACCACTGGAAAAACTATTGTCTAAAACTACAGAAAAAAGTTTGTAGAAATTTTAATAAAACTCTACCAATTACTATAATACCAGTTGTACACAATACTGAAATAAATAAAGCGATATCTGTGGATTACGATTTTCTACATGATTCCCTTTAACGAATTTTCCAATTATTTTTTCCCAATTAAATTTGTTTTTTTAGTCCATGGCATAGATTTTTTTCTTTTTAAATTTCAATCAATACATATTACCAATATTAGGATATTTTATGGTTTCCCAAATGAATCTTTTCACAACAAACAAAGCGAACAAACAAACCTTCTCGGCATTAATTTGCCTTTTGGTACTAAGTCATTTTTTTATTTCAACTAAAACACATTACAAACATTTATTTAGCATCATTGTCGTCAATAATAACGTCACGATTCTTTATGGTTCCTTCAGTCTTTTAGTGGTTCTTTTAGTAATTTTTAGTATGTACCTTAATTCTATTCATTTTGCTTTTTTGGTACGTCATTTCCACAGAAGCCAGTTGTGGACCATGGAGGGTCATAGAGTTTACGGCTTCAAAATTTCGTGACAAACGATCTGATTGTGACAATTTGGTCAGCGCAGTTCAAAATCCGTCTTCACTTCCAGAACAAACATGTACCTACTGATTAGAAGCTGGGTAAGCTTCAAACCGCCATTGGAGATCGAACACCAGTTCTTCCTAACAACAGTTCAGTGCCTTAACCAACGAATAATTTTTTTTACGTTTCTCTTAAAATTAGTAGAACTTTTTATTTGATTTCGCCTTCAATAAGATGTCTTAAAGAGGTATTTTATTACATGTATTAAAGGTTAGACTAAACATGAGGTATTGCCTAACAAATGATGCGTTGATTTCAAACAAATCTCTCATTTAAGTTAACGAACGATTAACTTTTGTAACTTTAACATTTATTTTTCTGAATAGGAAGAAATTTACAGACTTGTTGTAGATTTACACGTTAGATAAATAGCGTTTCCAGGGGTCTTAGAAAAATTTAGTTTAATTGAAGAACATAACTTTTCAAAATCAATATAAAGACATCGTTTTTATATGATCAAGAATAGTTTAATAAAATCTCAACTCAAATAAAATTACGAGTTAAATGTGTTTTGAAAAAGATAACATTTTGATAATTTACTAAGAGCATTTAAGATTGCTTAGCTATTGTTCGATTAAAAATGAATCCTATAAAAATATCTATTATATTCACATTCTTTTCTATATTTATTCTATTAGGTTTTATCTGCATAAATGTAAAAATAAAATATGTCAGTTGCACGCATACCAATCAATAATACGATCAGTTTTGAAATGTAACTTAACTGCTGCTCATTCACCTAACAATACACAGGGGAAAAGGGTACTCAAAAACTTAATAGCTAGAAACAAGTAAACAAAGGAACAACGTAACATAATTACAACAACATAATTACATTGAATTTTAAAATTTTCTGGTACACGCAACTTCAAAAGCATAATCAATACGAAAAGAAACAATTTCCTTATAATATGATATCATTTTAAGGCTGTTTCGCTTATGTTTTAAAAGTGTCAGTGAGATATTGAAAGATTCGATTTATAAGTCCTATTATTTCTTCGCTTGTATTTACGGTAAAATGTATCCTCATTGGTTTGACTGCCACCAAGATTAATCTTTTATTTCTTATATATGTATATCACCCATCATTTGCTAACTAATCGACAAAAAATAAATAAATAAAAAATAAAAGAAAAAAGAAGAAAAAATTCTTTACTTTAAAGTTTACAACCAGCTTTTATTTCGGCTGTTTTTCCTATGACTGGTATTTAAAAAAATCGGATTCCAAGGGGTAAAAATGCTCAAAAATTGCCGAAAATTCTGAAAGCTTTGGTTTTTAAGTGTCTACCAATCTATAAAATATTTTACAAAAAGGGTAGTATTGGGCAGGCCCGGAGATCAGTTGTTATTATAGGTTCTATGGTGATCGTTGTTTATACACCATTATCTCCGTCTTGTGATTGGGGGGAAATTTAAATGCATGTGTGATTTTAAGGGGCTTCCTGGTCAAGAAATGTCAAAATATCCATTCGTTTTTATCGCATGTTTCGATACCTCATACTTAGCAGCATACGTGAACGAAACAGTCTCCCAAGGAAGCGGACCCTTCCAAGCTTTTCACACAAATATAAGGGATAACATTCAAAACATGGCAAACCTTAGTCTTCATTTATGTTTTGATATTGATTTTCTTAAATTTTCTTTAAGCTCTCAACTAGGTAGAATTTGTAAGTTGCAGGAAAGTCTTTTGAAAGGTAAAATTGCGAGTAAGTTCAATCACAAATTATAATAATGAAACTTCCTTGAATATTCAGCCTGTTCACACATCGCCTCGTAAGCATAACATAAGCGGAGGAATACACCGGAAGTTTTCTCAATTTCTTCAGGTTTAAGGAAGCGCGTTACTGCTTACATTCAGTATCCATACCAAGTGCTCAAAACTAGAACATGTCCAGAATATCGCAAACGCTCCAAGTTGGAAAACAGGTATCAAAAAGCTCCACTCCCCCACGCTTTACTTAAAAGTGATCGAATGATTGATCATCTTATTCACATGGCGAAATATTCTCAAAAGAGGTGCTTAAAGGGGAGAAAGATATTGTTTCATATCTGCCAACTTTTACACATATGGCTGAAAAATTTATTTCTATATTTAAAGTGGTAGTAAAATGCATGCTTTCTATGTATTCCTTATGCCAACCAGGTGGCCGAGTGGTTAGCGTGTCTGACTGCGGAGCCATTGGCCGCGGGTTCGAATCCTGCTCAGGTCATGGATGAATCTTTCTCTCTCTGTGTTCTATGTCCTTTCTCCTTTGTGTGAATGTGACCCACCCTATAAATGGGTTTGTGGTTGTGTGACGTAGGCGACGCTGCTCCACCGCCGTGACTTCGCCACAGGTGCCCACTGGGTAACGAGAAGAAAGCAGCATTTCTGTGGCCAATGGGACAAACCACAAGTGCCCGCCATTAATATATATATATATATGTTCCTCACATTCATAAACTTAATTTAAAATCTTTTTGACCACCACTATTTTCAAAAAAATTAAACGTAAATACAATACCATACCTGCCAACATTCACTCTTTTCGAGAATGGATTTTCCAAGTGGTAGTAAAACAATTACCGAAAAACTATCTTCCACAAAAATATATTAATATTTTAATCAGGCTGAAATTGCTATCGTAAGGAATAATATGCTTTTATATATTTGTTGTAATTATTTATATGTAATGGTGGTCAAACTGATTTAAAATTATTATTATAATTCAAAAAGTTTTGCGAAATAACATGAATTTCGCTAGCACTTTAAATATGAAAATAAAATCTTCGGTGAAAACTGGAAGAGTTGGCAGCTATGCAAGTGCGTAACAGTCCATTCTTATGTCAAAAGTCCCAGTAAGCTATATGATTCGCAGATGAACGCGGGCGGGTAATCTGGTCTACCACCTATTAAATCAAGTCAGTGTAATAGTCCAGTTTTGTAAAAAAAATTCCTTCTTGTAAATATGTCTTCTACTTTTCTATACGTTCAATTATTTGTTACTTATTACAAAGGCCTGCCAACGTTCGCCAAATCCATTGGCGCTAGTTTTCAGTTTTGGCGCGATTTTCGGATTCACTGATAATATCGGGTTTGGCGAAAATGGTCGAAAGGATAATCCCAAAGTACCGTTTTAATACAAAAATTATCTAGGTACAGTTGTTAAAATACAACTTATTTTCAATTTTTCATTAAAAATGATGCAGTGCCATGCAAAAATGACACATTTTGATTTATAGATATGTTTACAAAACTGTTTTCTTTCTTTTTTCTTTTTTTTTTATCGTGGTTCATGATTAGTTACGCGATTCTTATTTTTCATAATTTAGGTTACCACTTCGCAAATTTCCGCCATGGAACATCAATCCATTCAGTAAAGATGCAGCTTTTTTTCTTTCTAAGTTCTTAACCTTGAATCTAGAAGACAGGAAAACGCCAGTTTAAAAAAAAAAACAAAGTCGCATTCACATTCAAGAGGAATTCTTTTAAGATAAAATAATCACTAAATTTAGCAACAATGAATGTGAATATAATTTGAGGAAAATGTAGGCAAGAATCACGAAAACATCTTGTGGTTAGCCCGAATGTATGATAATTGTAAAATTACAAATGGATAGAGCAAAAGGAGAGATGATTAAAGTTAATGAAGTTGGCCAGTTTTATTAAATTGGTTCGTTAAAAAAAATAGGAATACATTTAAAATTAAAAACAAACACTTGAAAATGATTGATATAAAATTTATCAAAAAACAAACAAAAAATTCATTGTAAAACAGGAAGAAAAAAAACAATAAAAGTTTAGGTACTCAAGTAATATTTCTTAATTAAATTTGAAATATTTATTCCAAAAACTCAACTGCACACAAAATATACTTTGGAATAAGAGGAAGAAAAATGGATGGTAGCAGAATTTGGTAATGGAAATTTTTCTTAGAATTTCTGTATTGTTAAGTAAATAATGATATGGAAATAATGGGCGGAATAATAAAACTATTATACCATGTTTTATTATTTCATACATCACACAACAATAAAGGAAATTAAGTAAAATTATATTGCCGAATTATTCTACTACCAGCCAAATATTCCAAAAGTAAAATATAATGCAAGAAAACAGAAAATACAAAATCTAAAATTATATAGCATTAAAATCAATGCAAACTAATTTTATGGCGACAATAATGTTATGGCGACAATGTTAATGCATCATTAATAGCAAGACATTCCAATTCTGTGACAGCATAATTTTTCTCAGAGTTCCTTAAAGATCGAGAATGTAATGCTATTGGATGTAAGACACCTGAAACATCTGGCTGTTTCAAAATTGCTCCAACACCACTTTTACTTGTGTCAACAAAAAATGACTTTGTAATTTAGGATTAAATATTTTCAAAACAAATTTACGAATTAAAGCATTCTTTAAAATTTCGAATGCTTCTTGACATTTGGGAGTCCAACACCAGGTTGCATTTTTCTCTAAGAGTTTATTTAAAGGTGCTTTTATTTTATCATAATTATTTATAAATATATCATACATATTTATTGAACCCTATTTTACATTAGTTGAAGGTTTAAAATTTTTAATTTGCTTCGTTATCAGGAGTTACTATACCATTACATATTTCATGATCCAAAAATTGAATTTTAATTTTAAATTTTCAAATTAAAATTAAAATTAATTTTAAAAGCTTTTAATTTTAAATTTTCAAATCTCCATCTTTCAAAAAATTCTTTAAGAAGATTTAAATGTTCTTCAAAACTATTAGGATAAATAATGATATAATCAAAATAATTAGCTGGAAATGAAACGTTATGTTTAGTGAGTATTCTGCGTATTGTTCTTTCAAAAATACATGGGGAGTTCTTCCACCCGAATTTCAATCTTAACCATTCGTACAACTCACTGTTGGCGACAAAAGCAAGTTTTTCAGTGTCATCAGGGTTGTTTAAATCATCGGGGAAATCATGTTTAATACTTCAATTTTAATTGGCATTCGAGTATATTCTTAAAACCTTACAAATTAAAAGAAATTGAAAAACAGAACTTTTTTTTAAAAAAGTTTATTTTTTCGAATTGTTAATTTGTTTACATAAAAATACGAAATATTTATCAATATTCAAGTAATGGTATGAGTTTAAGCAACATGCTGTACTCAAGCCAAATATCAAGCTATAACTTAGTATATTTATAAAAAGTCGAGAAATTTTACACACTAGTTGAAAGAATTTGAATTGGGAAAAACAGAAATATAAATAGAAAACATTTGCACCACTTTGTAAAAAAAATATTTTCCAGTGGTACCGAAACTGAAACTCATTTATCCACCACTATATATCAAAACCTCAAAGCATGTTCTCAAATACAACAGTGTTGCATTATTCTCGTGATGACACTTTCGAAGAGTTGGTGTAATTATTCTTATTCTTTTAGTTTTACTGTTTAATTCGCTACCAATTTCTTAAAAATTTTACAGAAAGTGGAGCAGCTGGCATCTCTGCTACCTAAAACTTGGTACCAAATTACTCAGAATAAAATAGATCATAAAAAATATTTTTTTTCGGAAAATCGAAAATTTTGTTAGTGAAAAAACTATCTAGACCTCTTAAAGCGGTAGCAAACTTGAAAATATAGAAGTTTTTAGTTACATCAATGAATAAAAAAATTTCCGTTTTATAGCAAATTTATTAGGATGCAATAAACAACTTAATCATTCTTATTTTCAAGTGGTAGCAAAATTTAAACATCTTACAATCTCGATAAAATTTAGTAACTGATTTGATTCTTCGCAACCTTGTTACAAATATCAATGCTACCACTAAGAAAAACATTCCAGGGAGAGTACAGATTTTGGAAGTTACGATATCCTAAAATGCAATGCGTTTGTGCTTACCTATTCTGAATATTTCAGCAACTGAAAAGAGGTCGGCTACAGAACTTCACATATCAAGAGATTTCGTAGTAAACTCTACAGTGGAGCAGGTTTCCGTAGCTGAATGCCACAGATTTATAAATGAATTGCTCTCTAAAGGAATTGTCTTTTTAAAGGACTGTATTCCTTCTTTCCCAATATGAACATTCATTAGTTCTTGAATTTCCACCGGAGTAAGCATCTCAGATTCTTCTGCAAATCTACACAAGATTTTGTGCAGCTTAGTGTTGCTACCACTTGCCATTGCTCTTTTAATACTTGAATATACTTTATAGAAATCAATTTTCTCTTCTGGTAAGAAAGTGGGTCTACTTTTCAAAAAACGTTGGAGATTTTCAGTAATCCTCAAAGCTTCAACTGTGGAATCATCTTCAAAATTAGTTTGCTTTGCTGTATTGATGTATTTTTCTCCAGTAAACTTTCTGACGAACACGTTAAACAAAAGCAGAGTCCCAATTGCATCAATATCCTGAAAAGACTTAAAACTTGAAATTCTGTTGATTGTTCTCTCTTGTTTATGATCTGCTAGACGAACTAGCTTCTGGTCTTCTTTTGTAATGGAATCAAAAGACCTTGTTTTAAAATTCATAGATTCATTTTTATTTAAAGTGCTTATCGTTAAACTTCGAAGGAAACGATTCCTTCTTGATTTGAGATAATCAATTATTAACTTAGATGACAAATTAACAGCCAAGTCGTAGGGAGTTTGATTTTTAAGATTTCTTGCATTCAAATTAGCTCCTCTTTCAACGAGATACTTGACAATATTATATAATTCATAGTGAACTGCCAAGTGTAGAGGTGTACTACGAAATACATCACTTGTAGGCTCGTTCACTGAAATACCCAATTCTTCTATAAAATATTTCACAGCACTCAGATCATTCAAGAATATAGCTTGATGTAAAGGTAGTTGGCCGCTTTCGTCTCTCAAATTTATATCAACTCCATTCATAGCTAACAACTTAATAATTTCTACTCTAGTTTCACTATCCACTTTTGCTTGAATAGCTCGATTTAAAAATCCTGCGTTGCATATGCCTTTAGCACTCGCATCCTTTTCTATTAGATATTTCACTATATTCAAATGTCCGGCATAAACAGCAGAGCAAAGTGGTGGGTCAGATGCAGATGACCCCTTCTCAATGTCAGCCTTTTTTTCTTGAATGAAATACTTAACTATGTCTATATGACCATGAAAAGCTGCTTCACTTAGTAACACGCAATCTTTTGGGTTTATTTTATCAAAAAAATACTTCATCATGTCTAGTTGATCGAACTGATTTGCATCGCAAAAAACCCATGGGCATGACTTGGGGCAACGCGGTGGGATATGCTTTTTAACAATTTTGTTGTAGTCATATTTTTTTTTCTCAAAACCATATTTTACTACATCAATATGTCCGTTTTGAATGGCATAATACATGAAATCATTACTCCGTGAGTCAAAATCATAAATGCCTCCTCCATTACTGATTAGATAATCAATCATGTCCAAATTTCCTCCTTTTGCAAACATATGTATGGGTGTTTCGCCGTTGCTATTTTTGACATCCGCAGATGCGCCTTTGACTTTTAAAAATTTCACAACTGCTGAATGCATATTTTGAGATGCCATATGAAGAGGAGTCTCCCCAAGATTATTTTTCAGTTCTAGTAGACTGTGGTCACGTCTTAGGAAGAGATCAACTACAGAAATGGCTCCATTTAAAGCTGCCTTATGAATAGGCGTGTTACCCATTTCATCTTCCGCTCGTATATCAGCCCTTTTATCGAGGAGCACCAGAACGTTTTCTAGTCTTCCACGATATGCAGCTTCATGCAATGGCGTTGAACTTTTAAAGGTTCTTGCATCTATTTTAGCTTTATTCTGTATGAGAATACTAAGTATATCCGGTTTTTCTCTCATTGCGGCTAGGTGAAGGGGTGAGTAACCTTCCTGTGTTTGCTGATCTATGAGAGCGCCACGTTTAATTATTGCTAAAAGAACATCTTTTCTCCCGAAAGTTACTGCAAAATGCAAAGCTGTAAGCCAACCATTAGCTGCTGTTCGCACTTTAAGTCTCTCATCTTCTAATAGACGTTTACTTACATTATCTTTTCTGAAAAATATTGCATAGTGAATTGGAGCCCATTTGTTATCATTAGTTCCTTCGTTTATTTTTATCCCTTCTGCACCCAGAAGATAGTTCACCATCTCTAAATGCCCCATCATTGCTGCATGGTGTAAAGGAGTCATATTATTGTCATCACCAGCATTGATATTAACTTCTTTACTGTTAATTAAACTCTGTGCTACCTTCATATCGTTGTTTATCACTGCCAAATGAAAAGGCGTCAACTTTGTTTTGGACTGTGCATTAATTGAAGCCCTTCCAGTATTTACTATCATATTAACTACCTGTTCACCGCCCATAACGGCATTATGCAGAGGAGTGAATCCTGACATATCTTTGGCATTCAAGTCAACCGTGCTTGTTAACAGATTTCCCAATGTTTTTATGAAACCATTCCGGGCTGCCAAATGCAGAGGAGTAAAAAGTTGAGGATAGGATTGTACGCCAATGGTAGACCGATGTCTTATCAGCAGATTCGTAAACTCCTCCTGTCCAGCTTCTACAGCAACATGCATAGGAGTAAAACCAGCTTTGTCTCGTGCATTTTTCTCTGAATAAGGTTTTCCCAAGAGCAAACTTGATGCGATTTCAGTATTGCCCCATTTTGCAGCTGCATGAAGAGCTCGCCTGCCATTTTCAAACATCGCGTTTGCATCAGCTCCTTCTCGTAACAAAATTGTTGCAGCTCTCATACCTGATTCTTTATCAGGACTATCAACAGCATCGTAGAAATCTCTATTAATATCAGTGAATTCAGTCTCATAGCTTTTAAGTGTCCCAATTAGTTTCGGTGTTTCGCCTAAGAATTTTCTAAACACGAGTCTATCGCGCCGTAACTTATCGATTGGTATTTTAAGAGTTGGGCAAGCTCTTTCCTGTACGAAAACTGGATGGGACCATTCTCCAATCCTTGCATATTTATCACCACTTTTGTACTGAACCGCATAACTAACTCGCTTACCTTCTACCCAATCGCCGATCGGAGTTTTAATATTCCTTTTAAACGAGAATTGCACAAAGTTTTGTGGTTCTTCTTCTATTGCGGGTAAGGTCATATTTTGAACTTTTAATTTAATGCTTTCAAATAATCGGATGGAGTCTGTCAAGCGTCTAGCTTTCGTAGCCCAAACAAAATCTAAACTATTCACTTCTTGCAGCAATTCTATTACTCTAAGCAGCAATGGTTCCTCTTTTCCTGCTACGCCTCTTCCGATGAGAGACCTTCTGAAATCTTTGAAGGTGTTTATCATACCATTTAAGAATCTATTATAGTTATCAACGTCACTCATACGGAAAAAGTAGTTGACCAAATAAGCATATTGTTCAATTAAAAAGAACATAACATTAACATACGTATGCGAGCCATATATTAATGCATCAATAGCTTTGAATGCAGCCTTGTCATGAGATGTTTTCGGAATAGCGTATCGCAGCTTTATGATATTTAGCAAGAAGGAAAGCAATCCTTCTGGGGTTCTATAGTCTGATAAATATTTTAAAAAGTTATTTTCTCCATTTGCTAACCTATTGACATAATCATTGTTATTTAAGCCTTTTATTTTCTCGGATTCAGTGAAGAAATATTGAACGAAATTATTAATTTTCGATGTTATCGGATCTACTTGGGTGATCTCGATCGTTTCTATGACCTCATCGAATCGCGCATGCATTTCGAGTCTGGTTTGTTCAACGGAAATCAATGTTTTATTTACCAATGTCATAATCTCCCTCAGAGCTGCTGTTTGTTCATCCAACTTCCTGTCAATTTCGTTGAATCTTCTATTCATAATCTCTTTTATTTCGTCGAATGGGAGATCGCCGCAGTCCACTGCTGTTTGAACTATGTCTAATCCCCCGGAAAATAAATGAGACACCACTGAAATACCTGCAGTAAAGTCGCCCAAGAACTCGCCAATAATAGGAATAGAATTTAAATCATTCACAATATCATTAGCCGTTGAAGAAACTTTCGACCCTAATTCCATTGCTTTGCATGGCTCAGCCTTTGACGTTTCACGTTTTATCCTGCTTGAGACACTTAATTCATCCATTTTATATCTTGATGACGTTGCGGAGTCCATTTTGCGAGATTTTATATTTTAGAAAACGTCCGTAAACTTCAATTTTGTATCGTAGTTGAAGAGTTACGTGGAAAAAATGATTTAATTTCCTTATTTATATAACTTCGAAATCAATTATTACTTCCCCTTTGCTGCACCTGCAGGAACTGATACTCTCATTAATTGAAAAGAACTTTATTTGTTCTGTCAGGGATATTCAGCTTATATGACATATGTTGATGGAAAAACTATTAACTTTGCACAATGTTCCGAGACAAGTGTTTGGGTTGAGAAATAATTTTGAAATGGAGGTACAATAAGATATGATATCTACGCGTGCAGCTGTAACTTTGTGCTGAATATTTTAGTTCCGAAAGAATTTTGCGAATAATAATGTTATTAAGTAGAACATTTAATATTTTGCTTCGATAAATATATCTTATATTCAACCATTACACTGCAGAACAATTTCCTGCAGCAGACGTTTTTTTTAACTTATTTTAGATATCGTTGCTTTGCAAGGTTGAATCGGGCAACTAAAAAAAGGAAAAAAGTAGTGATTTATTAAATTTAAAAGATTATTACAAGAGATTAAAATTAGCAACTTTTTCTAGCATATTTTTGTTTTCAGTTTACTTTAAAAGGTATTTAAGGAAGTTTTTACTATGAATACTTTGAAATATAAGTCTTTGTGGTATTTCTGTTTGAATAATTAAATGAATAAATAATGAATAATTAATGAATTAAAAAGAATTAAGTTTCCACCACTTTTTACATTTTTATTCACTTGTGATATCCCTGACTTCAATACTGCAAGCGGTATTTAAAGTGTTACCACAATGTCACAAAAACAAAATGTCTTATTCACTGCATGATTTTCTCGATGCATGGTAGGCCGCTGCGTGGCCTAGGTACCCAGTTTGTCATAAATAAAGAAAAAAAGCAACCGTTTTTTTTTTATACAAGCAACAGCTTACCTGACAACTTGAACAGTCATTGAAAAAGATTTTTCGAAGTTGAAGTAAAACAACAATTAAGTTAGAAAGAATTTTCTCAAAACAAAACTATTGAGACATGTGTAAGCACATTAAGCAGTAAATAGATCTTATCTGCATTTTTTTTAAATTATTGATTCGTCGTGGTAGCTTAAATTTTTTTTATTCGAAACTAGCCAAAAGGCTAGTATCACTAAGAAAACAATTTCTCAATGACTGTAATAGTTGGCTACCATATAGGGCAGTACTTTTACTTTCGTTACTTGTACCGCCGGTACAAGTAAAAAGTACGTAGTTTATCCTAATTCNCTTCGTTACTTTTTAAATTTAGTACTTTTACTTGCACTTTCGTTACTTTTTCAGGGAAAAAGTACGAGTATTTGTAACGGAAATGTCGAATGAAATCGTTACTTTTTATCAAAACTCGGTAAGCTTTCTTAAGAGAAAAATTAAATTAAAAAAATGCTTATGTTTTTTTTTAATTAATTAGCAAGTTATTTTCATTCATTTTCGAGTTTTATGCATTTATTTAATACATTTTAAATATAAAATGTTGGATTTTGTTATTACGTTTTTCAATTTTCTTTCTAAACTCGCTAATAATGCATTTTTGTCTAAATAAATTTTTTACTATATACATTTTTACCTAGTACATTTTGTACTAAAATTATGTTTATGTCCGACCTTGTCAAACAACGCCCAGTCAAATCTCTAAGAACTTCAGAACTATTTCTGTTATTAAAAAAGCTATAATAATTACTATTTTAACTTTTGAAAACTCGAAGCCGCTGATGCTGAAATTCGTTTACCAATTTTAATTATTCCGTCAGGGAGAAATGTTCGGAAAATTATTTTTTCGCATGATTTCAGCATTAGCCATTGTTACAAATAAAACTGTAGACTGTTCTGTTTCAACTTATACTGCACATTCAATTATTTTTTACTAGCTCAAAGATCACAAAGTTATCTGAAACTCCGTGTTTGCTTTGTTTATGTTTGTGCTTTTAAAACCCGTTTCTATAGAGTAAAACAATTTTAAATCAATGGTACTTTAAATAAATAAAAATAAGAAACTAAAAATTAAAATCAATAGATAAAATTTCTTTTTCGTGCAAATCCATAAAAAGTTTGAAAAAATTATATTTGATTTTAAAATTATATTATACGATTATATTATAAAATTATATAATAATATTGTTCCGAATTTAAAAATAAATGAATGTCCATAACCTTCAAAATTAAAAATAATTAAATAAATAACAACAATTTTGCAGAAACATTAAAGAACATAAGAATATTATTCAATAAAATTTTAGGTTACTTTGAATTTTCGATTTCCTAGAAATGTACTTTTAAATCGTTACTTTTTTTGCTCAGTACTTGTACTTTTTACTCGTTACTTTTCAAAAGTAACGTTGCCATATATGTTGGCTACTAAGCGAAAGATTATAATACAAGTCAACCAACTCACACTTGTTTGGTAAAAGTGATTTAAAAATCAATAATGATGCTTACATAAAAAAAAGTGGTAATTATTATTTTTTTTTTTCAAATGAGATTTCTTTTGTTTCTTACCACTTTAGCTTTAATAAAAAACACTATACGTTAACTTCAGCTAAAACATAAGTATAATATTGATATATTGACATAAGAATTGATATTATTGTAGGAAAACCTATTTCACCTATGAGAAATTAATTTTAGAAATTAACTAAGATTAAAAATTTACCCCTACCCAGGAGCTTTTAAAATTCTCTCAAGTGAATAGAAAGTGTCTCCACTTCTCTGCTGCGTAGGAAGAGGTAGGAAGAAGGCGTTAGTGCATTTCAGTATGTGATGCGATTCATTATTGTCATATGTTTTTTGTTTTGAATGTTATGTAGACAAGTGCATAAGTATATATATATATATATATATATAT